GCATATCGGATAACATATACACCGATAAAATACCAGTATGTCTGTGATAGGTCAATAACGGATCAGTTGGGCTCTATAAATAAGCCACTGTTTACTTACACATTTGCTATAACTACATTATATGGTACTACCAAAACAGTGGCCAACAAAAATCAATAAATGCAGGTTTAAAGAACAGTGCGGTCCAGACTTTATGTCTGTTGTTAAAAGTTATGTTAGAAGAGTTAAGTTCAAAGCATTCCGTGCACATCAACTTAAGGCCAATATTTTCACTACCTTATTTTACTGCATTGCACAAAATAGACTGATTCCCCACATTTTTGGCTGTCAGAAACAGCATGACTTCTGCAGTACTGGGTTTGACATTTTCAACTTTTACACTGCCTGCTGCAGTGGGCTGCTAATGGGACATTACAGCAAGGGGGCATAGTGGACTTCACTGATGGCTCTTACTGTATATGGTACAGTAGAAGAACTTAAGATCCATTAAAGTAATCACATTATCTTTCTTACCTCCTCTGCTGAAAAAACAGTCAATTGGCTTTCTTGTAGTGTGCGACCTCCTAAGTGACTTCCAACAAATGTAGTTAAAAGTCTGTGCTCTACCTCTTGGCTTCCCTGAGGAGTTCAGCTCAGACTGAGTGTACAGAAGCTAAGTTAGAGCATATACAAGCACACACATTCTGGTTCCCGCAATCTTTTACATGTGCACACATATACCTATGCACACATATATACACACAGACAAATATTTGGCATTTGTCCAGCACCTTGTCCTCAATTCAGCAGTGAGGCCGTCTGTCATTCTGCAGAGTGCAGAGTTGGACCACACTATTGATTCCCCGCTATTAAGGCGGGAACACTAGTTAATCAGTCGGTCAGACAGCCAGTCAGCCAGAAAGCCATCAGACAGCCAGTCAGCGGGTTGGCCGGCAAGTCAGGCAATCTGTCAGCCAGACGCTCAATCACCAAGTCATTCACCTCAAAGGATGTAGTGAGTAAAAGCACTGCATGGAAACAAAGAGCATAGAAGACTGGCACACCAAGCATGAAGTGCTTGTGCAAATGCAATTCATATAAAAGCTGAACTCGATGAGAATTTCATGCTGAAATACACACATTTCATCTTTACACAAGTGGGGAAGCAACAGCGAAGCACCTCGGCTCCCTACTTACTGAGGCATCACAGATTGCCTCTATTTACCATAATTCAATTCTGAATGACTAATATCTATATTTCTCCATCTAGAGATAATGCAAAGCACAAAGCACAGCCCATGAGTTGTTGCCGAGAAAATTGCAATGAAATGATATTAGAATGATATGGAGTTGACAGACTGACACACTGACCATCATTACTGCATCAGCCACTATTAGCTGGCATGGTGGCGACTAACCTGACTGTGGCAGATGGTTTGCCACACAGAACCATCTGGGATATAGTCATTGGGAACTGTTTGGAAAAAGGCAGGCACTTTCAAAAAATACTTGGCAGGTGATTGGATGAACCATCTGTCTATCGCTGTCTATCAGGGGCAAGCAATCAGATCAACAAACCATGAAACTTAGTCAAACTATTATTGAAGTCAGTCAGGAGAAGTGCAAAAACAAATTTCCATTGAGAAAAGCCTTCTGTTCTTTGCTCTTCTTTCAGTGAAGAAATACTTTCCAGTCCTGTTATAACTGCCCACCCCCGCAGCTGCCAGTACATCCTCAGAGGATGCTGATTGGTCCAGTACTGTACCGGTCACAAATGTATAGATGGAAGCCTGGCAAGATGGAGTCTCGCTTAATCTTGTGATTTCATGATCTTGTGATTTTGTGATCTTGTGAGTCTAGCAAGGTTAGAAAGTGACAGCTCTCTTTTGCTATCATACAAGGTCAGGCTTGGGGAGTAATGGATTACATTTAACTAAATTAAGTAATCAGGATACAAAGAAAAGTAACTGTAATCCATCACATCAGATTACAGTTAGATTTAGTAAAAATGGGGATTATTAGCAGGAAAAATTCAGTTTTTCTTTAAAACTACACTGATCTGAGGACACATCTTTGATGCTAAAATGATTTTTCATTTTCTTTTCTAAGGTTACATTGTTTTGTTGTCTTATAAAATACACTTGCATCAATGCGTCGTATTGATAATTCTATTCGTTTGTTTTTATTTGCACATTTGGATATTCAAAGCAGTGGTTACTCGAATACTGTAATACTTGGATTAGGTTACTGTTACTATTTTAACAGGTAATTAGAAATTTATTGGATTACATTTTTAAAGTAACCTTCCCAACCCTGTACAAGGTGGAGGACCCATCTCCACCAGAATAATAGATAAGTGGTGTCCATCAAGGAACAAATAAAAGCAGACCAACAAAATAAAAAGTCCACAGATGTCAGAAAACACCACCTGCTATATCAGAAAACGCTCCCCGCTCTCGGGCAGATTCTTGTGAGACAATTTTCTTCTTCCACTTTCCCTCTCTCTTTCTCCCTATTGATGGCTGTTCCCTTAGGGTCAAACTCAGTTCAATATTGTAAAAGATCTACTTATCAATAATTCACAAATACTGACTGCCTGCTTCACATGAAACGCTGCCTCCCTCTGTCTCTACTTCTCTTATTCGCTTCACTTTTTTTCAGCAATGCCTCTCTCCAACTCTTCCCTTCTCTTTACACTCCTCTGTTCTTTTTTCCTTTTATTCTCTCACCCTGCCTTTCTCTAGCTCTCATCTCTTTCTTAACTGCACTGTCTTCTGCCTGTATCTCTACACCTTTCTTCTTTCTCTGTCTCCACCTGTATGTCTTCTTTCTGCCATCTGCCTCCATCCACCTACACATTTTATGGTCTTCCTACACTAACATCTTCAAATGCTAAAGATAATAAATATAGATGCATGTATAAACATAAAATTCAAACACACATATCTGTATATTTCTGCTGTTTTTGGCTAGGCTTTCTGTGTGGAGTTTGCATGTTCTCCCTGTGTTTACATGGATAAACGGGTGCTCTGGTTCTCCGGGTGCTCCGGTTTCCCCATCATCAAAACATGTTAAGTTAATTCTTCAGTTAGTGCTCTTGAGCAAGGTACTGGCTCAGCTCTGGAGTTGGTACAGTGGCTGCCAACTAGTACTTAAGATGGGTTAAATGCAGAGAATAAATCTCACGATACGTTGTACTGTGTGTACGACTGTATATGTGACAATGAAGTTGATTCTATTCTATTCTAGCCTGTGAGGCCACAGAGAGAGAGAAGCTTTTGCATTGTATGTTGTTCAAAATGCCTACTGAAGCTTTAAATTCATTCTGAAATCCTCATAATTAAATGTGAAAAATAAACATAATTGTTAGGTCATTGCAGAGGCTAATCTGCATTAGTGTTCACCCTGTTAAAGGCCAATAACAGGGTTGATGATACCAGGGTTGACGGTTAGCATGAAAATGAAACAAAATACTAGAACTAATGATCTAATGCACACGGTAAGACAATGCATGCACTGGTGTGTGTTGTTCGATCTGACTGTTGATGATGTATACTTAGGCTGCTAGCATTCTGATTAGCATAAATTACACTGCATATGACAGCCATTAGGCATGTTAACAGTGTAAGTGTCTGTAATTATTTGCTTGGTTAAACAATATTCAACTTAATGTACCAACAGTGGTAGATGGTGGATAACCTTTCACAAAAAATGGTTAAAATTAATAAGGATACACTGATCCCACTTTTTATTGTGTAGCACTGATGTCGGCATGACGAGTATAGATTTGTGTTTTTGATGATTGCTGATCACTTCTGTCTAACAACTACCCTGCTTTTAGCAAGCATAGTATTGGTGCAGCTACTGATTTGGTTTACCACTAGGGATGTGACAGACATTTGGTATGCACACTTGCTAACTTTAATCCTTTTTCATTTTTAGGGAACAAGTTTGACCTGAGATATATGATCCAAAGTTGAACTTATTGTATTTAATTTTCACTTTTCTCCTACCCTTTTGAATCTTTCATACATCTCATATTTCATCTGCTCTGTTAGAAAAGCTAGTACAATCTCAGGCCTTATTTGACTTCTCCACCAAACTTTTTAAGAAAGAAATGGGCTTCTCTTATCAAAACCCCATGGGGATGTGCCTAATGGGTTTCATCTTTTTGACTTCTGACATAAGTTAGAAGTGATATTTCTGATTCTGGCCAATGCTAATTAGAGGCAGATTCCACTGCCAGTGTACCCAATGGCTACAGATACTGAGGAAACTGGAGAGCTGAAGGATGGTGAGGTATTGTCCTCCGAGGACACTGGACGATGGATGAGAGAGAGAGAGAGAGAGAGAGAGAGAGAGAGAGAGAGAGAGAGAGAGAGAGAGAGATATGAATGATAGTTAAGTAAGCTTCTTATTCAGTCTGATGTCTGAGACAAAAACAGCACACACACACACACAAGCGTACAAAGGCACACACGCAGACCAGAGATGCCTAGGGCATGAATACAGTAGTGTCTTCTTTATACTAATTATCCTGCTCCCTCTACTTATCTGTCACATTTTAAGACAACATTAAAAGTGTGAAGATTAAAAATAAGACAGAGGGTTGTTAAAAGTCAGAAACTGTGGATGTGTGAAAGCTCATTATCTAACTGAAGTAGATGTGCTTTTAAAAAACGCCTATCGCATAAAATAGCAGAAGAATGATCCATGCTCTAACAAAGCCAGTAGAGGAAACAAAGGGGAGAGGAAGAGGCATGAATCCCACATAACTGAATTGTAAAAATGCACTCTAAAACCATGGAGCTTTGGTCAAGCAGACATGAAACAGCATGGCTACATACAGATTGCCAATTAACAAACCAATATGATCAAAGGTGCATCCAAGCTGAGGAGGTAAAATGGGTAAACATGTGCACAGCTGGAATTTGTTATGTCCTTCTTGTGCATAAAGTGTCTCGCTGCAAAGACTGAATGGTGAATCTACAACTGCAGCCGTTTGTTTGAGTGTTGTTTACCTGAGAGAACGTCCAGGTGAGCTTCATGTGTTTGGTAGCCGCGTAGCTGCACTCCAGCAGCCTGGGTCTGCTGTTCACGTCCACCAGACACTTGTTGTCGTCATCGTCGATGGTCGGACTCAGCACTCCCAGGTGAAGCTGCTGGGAGCTGGTGTAGTAGACATTCTGCTGGGAAACAGAAGCAAGGACTGAGGATGGAGTACTCACCAAACATATTTGATGAAGGCCTTCAAGGGCCTCCAATCAGCTTTAGTAGCTTAAAGTAAGAGTCCTTTCTCCTTAGCTGTGGAAAAACTTCTTTAAGGTTCATTGTGGAATTCACAAAATCAAGTTGTGTTTTTGTGAGAATTTCTGAACAGAGCAGCTGTAATTTTAATTTCCTAAAGTCTTATTTGTATGCAAATGAATTTTAGCAAAATCTGGTTTTATATATAATATAGTATAGTATATACATACTGCATTGTATGTTTGAAGTTCAGAATCACTTTAGATGAGGGCAGCCTAAACCTTTACCCTTGGAAGGCCAAAACTGAAACCTTAAGGTTGGCCATGGCCAAAAAGCAAACACATGTTGGACTGTATTGTTGCAGAATGGTAATAGGATCCCAAGTTCCTTCATTCAGTGGTTCTCAACCTTTTTCCTTACCCCTGTTCTGTCACTGATGAACTGATTACCCCTGACTAAGTGACATATTTTATGGATATTTCATATTATACATATTTCATATTATACTTAACTGTACAATGGAACCAAGTAGTAAACACAATAACTGCAGGAAGTTTGTGTAAAATGAGCAATTTAATAAATTTTTTTATTTGATTTATTTTTAGAATCATACATACATAATAAGTTTCCTTTTTCAGTCTTTTCTTCACCCTGATGTCCATTGTTTTAATGCAGGACAAGGTTGTTTAGCAGTAAGTAAAGGCTCTGTGAATATAGCTTGTTCTCAGGTCCTCAAAATTCATATTTTCAATAATAATTTAAACTAAACTAAACTGTACATTAACATTTAGTTTTTCTCACAGAAATGAATGAAATGCTGAGATATAGGACTACCTATTTTAAAATTTTATAACATCCTCTAAAACCAAGAAGGCTTCACAACCCACTGTGGTCCGCTGTACTAAAATTATGTAACAGCTTTTTATATTTGGATTTTCAAATTGCTTTTTTTTTTTTTGAAACATGAGTTTAGATTTTTCATTCATATTTAAAATTTCTATACTTGTAACATGGAACATTTTCAACATAGTGAAACAGATGCACCTTTTTGTAAAGTTTTTGCTTGTAATCTGAAACTGTGTGACCGGTAGCTTGCATTTTTATTCATGTGCTTAATAATTTATATTTTTTATTCTTTTTTTTATTTTTTTTTTTTTTTTTTTATTTATTTTATATTTTTTATTTATATAAATATATATATAGGAAAAGGGGGGGGGAGCACTTGATCATGTTTTATCTACCATAGGGACTTCTGTATTGTGTATTTTTTTTTTTTTTTTTCGAAGATTGGGATGATCTCTTTCGGGAGAGACCTAAGAACAAACAAACATCTGTAGTCAGACAAACAAGAAACCTTAGTTAGACTGTCGGACAGTCCAACTTAGCAACCGATAGAACAAATAAAAATGAATAAAAACAATTACAGGGATCATAAAGCACATTGGATTAGGAAGATGTAAAAGAAGGGATCTAGTCTGAAAACAATTCTGCCAAGGTTAGTGTGTATGACATAGCTATAGTTGCCATTCACACACAGTTCAGTCATTAGCAGCAGGGAGTACTGTAAGTAGGTTCATTTTTGAATGTTAAGTGTATTTCTTTTTTACCTCACCTGCAAAATTTGCCAGGTCTCTAAATATTCTCACTTTAAATGTAGCGGGAAATAAACAGGCCACTTGCAACTGCTCTAATCAACAGAAAAACAGAAAGCAAGGAAGAAAAAGGAGAAGGAATGTGATGAAGGAGGGAGAAGAGAGGTCAGGGATGGAAAAGTAAATCCTGGCTTAATATTGGCTTGGGAAATTTTGCATACCTGGAAAAAAAAAAAACAGAAAAAAACAACACAAGGACATGGTAATGAATGCAAATGTTGGCCCAGTTTTGAAGCCTGCAAAATGTCTACTGAGATAAATCAAACACACCTTGTGTAGTTTAAAAATTCAAACCATAAAGAGAGACGTGCATTTCCCAGAGTCTGACAGAACAGCAGAAGATGAGACAAAGAATCACAGACAACCTGACACGAGTAAAGCAAATGAGAAGGATCAAGGTTGACACAAAATCCAAACAGGCAGGGAAAGTTGAGAACAAGGTGTAACAACGGAGTAAGCGCGGGTAACAGCGCTGCTCAGAACAAACGGAGACACCGGCTGTGTGCTCTGTGAGTGTGTGTGTTCGCCGAGGAGTGTGTGGAAGCTCTGAGGAGGTAATTGATGAGAATGATGACGGTCTTGCAGGAACAGGACATTTCTAGACAGGAGCCATTATCAGACTGTGAACCAGCCGCAGAGCTTTTACGCTGCTGTTTAAAAACACCCCAAGACAGACAACAGCGCAGATTGATGTGTGCATGCGCGTGCGAATGCTTCCGAGTTAGGATTGGTTTTCACTGTGTATGTGCATGTGCGCTAATACGAGTGATTAAACTTGCAGCTGTCAATAGATTGATGCTCGGCTGCCAGCAGAGGGCTTAATGCTATCTCCTCTCTTGTCACGGCTTCTTAAAACCTCTAATAGAAGGATTAGCACAGTGCTGCGTCAGACAGACCGCAATCTCTCCTGACAGATGTACACATTAACAAGCATGGACAGAAGAAAGCCCGTAAGCTAGGCTGATTTTCTGGTGTTTAATGTTTACCTTCAGCAGATGATATTTCAATCTGAGAAAAGTAAAAAAACAAGACTTGTGTTTTGTGATTAAATTTGTCACTTCAAGTGCTATGACACATATTTTAGATATAAAGACAGACAGAGGACCTTAGTTGGACTGTCAGCAGCAGCTTTTATGTAAAACAAGACTCAAAGTTCAGAGGCCCCTAAAGGGGGTCAGGGTGGATGGACATGGTCAACAGAACATCAGACTTTAACGCAGGTGACCACTGCTTGCTTCCTACTGACCGTCAACGCTGGTTTCTTTTAACTGTGGTTGTTGCCTTTCAAGAGTTTATTACTGCATGAAGATGAGCTTTCCCTGAACTCAACCAAGTAGTCTTTTGTTTGGCATTGATCAGCACAACTTCTGCAAAACATGTTCAGTGGTCTAAACTATTGTATACATCTGTTCACAGCAGATCTTCCAGGTCTGTGAAGAGAAGCCAACACTTTCTAATGGCCAGCAGGGACAGCTCCATTGACTGCAAAAAAAGGAGTCTAATAGTATTGGTCTTATGTAGGAATGACCCTACTTCTCACTTGATTTTTTAGCTCAGTGAACAGTTTCCTAATGAGTTTATGGTCTCAATCTCTAGTTTCAAGTCTTCTTCCACACAGCATGATGTTCATTTTGTAAATGATGGTCCCATTTAGAGTAACATAGACGATAAAGCAGGGTATGCTTTAGGGCATGGCTACCTTGTCACTGACAAGTCGTTCGCAGCGCAATGCACGGAAATATAAATATAAAACTAGACAGTGCTGATCAAATATGAATCAAGATTCTATTGATTCTACTGCATAAGCCATTTCTTGCTTTAAATCTTTTGAGAAACATAATGTAGTGGACTGTATCTATAATATGAGAATGTGTGTGACCAGGCAAGCTGCCATAGTTTACTGCTAAGGGCAGCCAATGAGAGCAGCTCAACTCACAGTACATCACCATTGCTGGCTCAGAAAAACCGACATGACTGACAGTCATAATGGGCATGAAAACGGTCCTCTGCAAATTAATGGGTGATGTCACGATAGGAATGAACTTGCATCACCAAACTACTTTCGGAAATCAGTCAGGTGAACCTGGGAACCTGTATACCTGAATGGCCGATTTTCACTTGCATCACAAAACCTCTGTGGTACGTTTATGTTATACTGCATGGTTGTCATGGTATCAACATTTATACTGTCTGTGAACTTTAGGTTAAGAAATTAACCCTAGTTCAACATGAGTAAGATATCTCACTATGGAACACACTCCTTTGTGGTGCCCCGAGAAGCTCTTTTAACCTACGCCAGTCCTGACTAGCAGACAGACGTGACGTCTGCTCCTTAGAGGAGGGACTTCCTCTTACTATAAAAGCCTGGCATAACGTACTGTCTTCAGTCTACAAACAATACCCAAGACATAGCCATACTACAAGAATGAGCACACAAATCTGTAGGGGGTCGCAACCCTTTCTATGATAGGCCATTGCAATAGACAAACGCTACTTTGTAAGTGGTTTTCCCACATATGGTGTGATGATACAAACAGCTGTTTGATTTCCTGAATCCAGCTGTCCTATCCACATATGTGTGCAATGCCTGCACTGGGCGGAGCGCATTAAGCTGTTCCTGTTCCTGTTCCTGCTCCTGCGTAGAGAAAGGAGGAGGGTGAAAGGCCAGCAGCTCAATTGGGCAGTACGATATGGACAGGTTAAAAACCTTCAGCAAAAACACGGGATTAGGTTCAGTAACACTTTCGAATCCCCCATTAAAAACGGCATACATGACAGATTTACAGACAATGCAAGGATATCACTCTTGCATTTAACAGAGGCCAGTGCGAGTAATAGGGCCGTTTTAAAGGAGATCGTTATAAGCTCTAGCTGCTGCAATGGCTCAAAAGGTGGGCGTGACATCTCTTCAAACACCATTGACAAACCTCATGGGGCAGTTAAGTTTCTGGTCAGCGGCCTGAGGTGCCGTGCTCCTTTATCAAGCTGGCCAACGAAAGGATTTGCCCCAAAGCCTATGTGACATGCTGATATAGCAAGTAAGTACACTTTTACAGTGGAGAATGCGTTTATCCAGCAGCTCCTGTAGGAACATTGGGATAAGGGGTATAGGACTCTGGAAAGCCATCACCCCCGCTTTTACGCATCAATCATAAAACGCGCACCATTTGCCATCATATAGGCATGTAGAGGAAATCCTAGCGCTCTGTATAGCCCGGTTGTAGGTCAAATGTAACCTTTCATGGGTCAGGTCCGTACCTGACCGTACTTGATCCATATCTGAGCCACCA